CAATTAAATATTTATTTGAATCAAGTACATATTTATTTTAATCAAATAAATATCTATTTGAATTTAATAAATATATATTTGAATCAAATAAATATCTGTTTTAATTAAACAAAATTTTGTTTAAAGTAACCGAAAATAGCGTTAGTACAAAAAAAGATATGTTGGGTTTAAAAAAAAAAATTTTCCTGACTCAAGTAATCAATTATTTGAATGAAATAAATTTTTTTTTTTAATATATTTTAAAAATAAAAATACATTTTAAAACGCTAAGAATATATATTTTTACCTTTCAAAGTAGAAAATATACTATATAAATTTAAGAAGAATTTAAATTAATTAAATGTAAATATTTTTATATAAAAAAATATGTGCCAAGGGTATTGAAAAATTTTGCGGAAATAAATTTGCGTTAAATGAAAAAAAAAAAAAAAAGAAGATGCGCTTTTTGTCTTATATCAAAGTACACATTCTTGGTAGTCGGTAAATATATATTGACTTAAGTTAAACAGTCAGTTAAAAGTTGCTCTTGTGCAAAACACGTTATTGCGAAAAAAAAATGTGGTACTCATCAATTATCACCTTTTGCTAATTCAAACACTATAAGAACAATAAGCCATAGATTTCTATTCACAAAAAAAAAAAAATCACTCCACAGTATTTCCGTATATGATAAATTTCAAGAATAATTTTCTTAATTGATGTCATGAATAAATTATTATCAATATTATAACAAATTATGCGAATAAATGAAAGTACATAAAAATGTGAAAATTATTTTTGTTTTTTTATGGAAAAAATTAAAAATTTTTCCAAATTCTAAATTAAATTTAAAATTTCCATTTTATTCTGTTTCACTCTCTAAATTTGAATTAGTAAAAATGTTTACTAATTTAAATTAGTGACTCACTTTTTGCTTCTGAATTAGTAAAATTTTACTAACTGTTAGTAAAAGTTACTAATAATTAGTAAAATTTTACTAACTGTTAGTAAAAGTTACTAATAATTAGTAAAATTTTACTAATTGTTAGTAAAAGTTACTAATAATTAGTAAAATTTTACTAATTGTTAGTAAAAGTTACTAATGATTAGTAAAATTTTACTAATTCAGAAGCAAAAAGTGAGTCAGTATTTCAAATTAGTAAACTTTTTTACTAATTCAGATTTAAAGAGCATTCTATTTTATTTTATTTAGAATTTTTATTTTGATTATATTTTTTCAAATTGGTTCTTGGGTATCATATACTAAATATAAGTAAATTATCCTTAAATAAAAATATATGTTAATAATATATATATATTTCATTGCCTTCAATTATTAAAAACTTTGGAAATATCGTATTTTTATGATTTATCTTGTATGTAAGTATTACCGCGATTACCTCTCAAGTCTCTTTTTCCCTTTGGCAAAATTCAGAACTTGGCTGTGTTTACCTTATCGTGAGATTAAAAATATTTCACGGTATATACAATGCAGATAAAACGTAACTACAAATTACTAACCGTATATACCTATATATCTTCAATCACTATACACTGAAAAATTATATATTCTAAATTTAAGAATACATCTTGTTTAAAGAGTAAAATCGTTTCTGTTTTATTCTTGTATACAGTTAAAACTTAAAATATATTCTTACACGCTGAGAAATTTTTTATTTGAACCAAATATAATATATTTCAGTTAAATAAGTTATTTATTATTTTTATTTTCTTATTAAAGCATATATCTTGATTTAAAAAAAAAATTTCTAATTTTAATAATATATTTTTATATACGGAAAAAATCTTTATCTGAAACAGCGATATCTTTCTCTAGAATGACAAAAACTTTCGTTGATTTAGTGAAATATAAATCGCTGTTTCAGTGAAATTATCACTGTTCAAGGTGAAAATTTTTTTTCCGTAATTACAATATAATATTCTTAAAATAAAAAGTAATGTCTTATTTTAAGAGTATTTTATCTCTTAAAGAATATATTTCTTAATTTAAAAAAAGTTTCTAATTTTGAGAATATTATTGAATATATTGGTTATTATTATTATTTGGTTGTTTGCTTGTTGTTATTATTATTAATAAAATTTGTTTAATTAAACGATTCTAAAGACACTGAAAAATTTATCATTAGTGAAAATGATTGAAATGGTGAATTTTTCAAAAGAATGCGATCATAATATGTTTTAACGCCTTGTCGCTTCTGGGTAGTTTGTGTGTATATATATATGGGAACTATATTGCAGAAGAGCATTTAAGAGAGCGAGAAAAAATTAATAGGTAGAGATTCTCGTCTAACATCGTTAATATGGCTCAAGCATCCATAAACCAGACAGGTAGTGCTTAACACTACACACAGTTAACTCAGCGTGAAGTTTAACTCCCGTTTAGACCTTTTTTTTTGTAATAATAACAACGACCGGGTTCATTTTATCTGTTATAGTTTCACCAGAATCATCGTTCAATTTACTTCCAAACAATTTAAAAAAGATATCACACGATGTGAGCAATGTTTTAATTCTCCTATGGCAAATTGTCACTTAAAAACTTTTATTGTTATTTATTACATAATCACTTCATCGTACTAGAGAAAATTTGTTTTTAACGAAAAATTAACAGTTGAATTTTTTTTCTTTAATTTAATGAAAAATTCTTTTCTTTGTAAATTAATTAACAAATTAATGTAAATTAATAATTTAATGTACATTAATAAAGTAATGTAAATTAATAAATAATTTCTGTATTCTTTAAAGTAACTACTAATTAATTATATTATTAAATTATTTTTATTACTTTATTATATTTAACTAAGATTAGAAAGAAGAAATTTTATTTTTGGTCTGATATGTGATTCAATTAACGTTACTTATAACTTGAATGGTGGTCATAAAAATAGAGCAATGATTATAAGTAGAAGAATGAGCGCAATAGATAGTAATAATCTTCCGGGATGAATATTCAGAGTAGAATTTTTCTCTTTTAATATTTATCATCTTTGTTGTTTTTTTTTATTAAAACTGTATTGCTTCGAAATTCTTATCCTTATAAAAAATTATTCTTGCTATTAACTAATAAAATTTGTTTTAAGTTTTTCTAATACACTGAAACTCTAATAATTGAGACCCTCGATTCTTTACAATAATAACAGTTCTACTAAACTTAGTTAGAATCTTTATAGTTCAGAATCACTAATTAGCATTTATATATTTTTCGTGTCACTTTTAAAATTTTTAAAAAATTTTCTCTACACTCAAACCTTTGTTACTGAGACAAATAATGTTCTCTGAAACAGAAGTAGTAGATTTCAAAAACTTTATAATTTTATTTAATGTCTCTTTATTGTCATTTGGGTAAATTAATACGATTCTTTTCAATTTTTCTCATACTCTAGAACTTGAGTTATTGAGACACTCGAGCGTCTCAGTTATAGGAGTTGCACTGATGTATTTAAAAAAAATTTTATTAATTAAATATTAATTACGTATTAGTTCGGAAGTAATTTTTTATTAATTATAAGAATTTTTCTAATACACTCGAACACCTCTTACTGAGACAACCGAACTTTCTAACAATCCACAACAAAAGTTGAAGTGTATTTAAAAATGTTTGTAATTATCTCAAACTCCTTATAGTAATTTGTGTAAATACGATTCTTCTCAATTTTTACCATACTCTAGAACTTGTGTTATTGAGCCAATTAGGCGTCTCAGTAACAGAAGTTACAGTGTATTAAAAAAAACATTATTTTATTAATTAAATATTAGTTCAGAAAATATTTTTTATTAATTATAAGAATTTTTCAAATGCACTTGAACTCCTGTTAGTGATACACCCGAACTTTCTAACAACGAATCACGAACAAGAGTTCGAATGTATTTAAAAATGTTTGTAATCATTTCAAAGTTTTTAAACTAACTTGGGTACGATTCTTCTCAATTTTTACCATACTCTAGATCTCTTGTCAATATTTACCATACTCTAGATCTTGAGTAATTGAGACATTTAAGCGTCTCAGTAACAAGAGTCCTAGTGTACTTCAAATACTTTGTAATCTCTTGTAATTACTATATTTTATATTTTGAATATATTATTATTATTTAGATAAATTAATACGATTCTTGTACCATCCTCTAGAATTTGAGTCATTGAGACATTAAATCGTCTCAGTAACAGGAGTAGCAGTGTATTTAGAAAAAAAATACTTTATAAAATAAACAGTTATTTTTATTCATAAGATTTAAATTTATAAAATTTATATTATATAAATTTATAAGGATTTTTCTAATACACTCAAACTTCTGTTCCTGAGACACTCGAAATTTCTCACAAAACGAATCCACAAGAGTTTCAATGCGAATTTAAAAATGTTTGTAATTTTAAAGTCCCTAGGATAATTTGGGTAAATTCTTCTCAATTTTCCCTACATTCTGGAACCTCAGTTATTATGACATCCAATCGTCTCAGTAACACAAGTTCCAGTGTATCATAAAAATTTTTTCAATCACAAATCAAAGTCCTTATAGTAATTTGGGTAAATTCTTCTCAATTTTCCCTACACTCTGGAACCTCAGTTATTAAGACACCCAATCGTCTCAGTAACACAAGTTCCAGTGTATCATAAAAATTTTTTCAATCACAAATCAAAGTCCTTATAGTAATTTGGGTAAATTCTTCTCAATTTTCCCTACACTCTGGAACCTCAGTTATTAAGACACCCAATCGTCTCAGTAACACAAGTTCCAGTGTACTATAAAAAATTTTTTAATCACTAATCAAAGTCCTTATGGTAATTTGGGTAAATTCTTCTCAATTTTCCCTACACTCTGGAACCTCAGTTATTGGGACACCTAATCGTCTCACTTAGAGGTTCCAGTGTATCTTAAAAATTTTTTTTTTAATCATTAATTTCTCTTCATTCTTACTAGGGGGTTTATTTTATTATCCCTCGAACCGAAAATGAAAAAATGTTTAAAAATACAAATAAATTTTTTGAAAAAAAAAAACGAACCTGTAGTAGGGAAAAGCTTGAGACACGTGTAGGTCCATGGGCATTGGGGGATGGGTGGCCACATGGTGGGCCTCTCCGCCGGCGAATGTGCCAGCTGCAGCGGCAGCGTGATGCCCCGCTAGCATGGCCCCCCATGAGAATCCCGGGGCCCCTGGCATTGTCGGGGGATGTTCTCCGCTGCCGCCAGAACCACCGCCGGCGACGCCGCCGCGGTGCATTAGCCACCCCTCCACAACGAAGGTTAATTTTTTCCACTCGTTCACTAAATTATTATTATTATTATTATTCGAGGCACCACTGTAAGCCGCGCACTAATTCAAACAAAACAAAAACAAAAAACCCTCAACCCACTATTTAAAAAATGGATTTTCAAATTAAAAAAAAAAAATGTGAGCAAAGAAGATAATTTTTTTCTTTTTGCATTTATCACACTACATAGTCGCGCACAAATTTTTTGGGGGCGCTAGATAATTCGCGACGGTGAACAGGTGTGTGCGTGAGACACAGAGAGAGTGAGAGAGAGGAAAGAGAGGAAGATATTGTCTTGGTTACGATCCGGAGCCGGACGGTGCCGGAGGTGAGTGGCGCACAGCCTTTGGCTCGGCCATGAATGACGGGAGTCGGATCGGGTTGCCTCGCGGGGGCGGGGCTTGTGCCAAGTGGCGCCGCCGCGACATCCACCTAGGTGCGATCACTACTTGCCAAGGATACCAACACAAATCTCGTGTTGCCTCTGGTGTCCTCCTTCATGGAGGCGGCGGTTACCGCCAGGAGGATGGAGTTATGTGCGGCATCCCCGTTTTACATCCAAGAAACACTTGTTGAGCCCATGCGCAACGCGACTAACTTCGTAAACTCGTTCACGATGATGCACTTTTCTTTCTTCTTCTTCTTCTTCTTCTTCTTCCTTTTTTTCTTTTTTCATTTACAAAATCAAAGGAGAATTTTTCTTTCCACAATTGTATTTACAAAAAAAAAAATTGATAATAATCATGATATTAGGTGTTTTTTTTTATTGCTATGGACTTTTTTCTTCTTACACTGGAACTCGACTTAATGGAACACTTGAACTATTATTGAACTTGAACTTAATAATTGGAGTATTAGTAAATTTACAAAAAATGAGTTTAAAAATCACTTTTCACTATGACGGCACACAAATAGCACTCACAATTTTATAGTAATATTACCTACAAATTGACAGTAATGTTGCTGTAATATTACCAAAAATGTGACAGTAATATAACTGTAATATTACCTATAATGTGACAGTAATGTTACTGAAATATTACCTTCAATTTCATAGTAATGTTACTGAAATATTACCTATAATTTAATAGTAATGTTGCTGGAATATTACCAAAAATGTAACAGAAATATAGCTGTAATATTACCTATAATGTGACAGTAATGTTACTGTAATATTACCTACAATTTGATAGTAATGTTACTGAAATATTACCTACAATTTCATAGTAATGTTACTGAAATATTACCTATAATTTGATAGTAATGTTGCTGGAATATTACCAAAAATGTAACAGAAATATAGCTGTAATATTACCTATAATGTGACAGTAATGTTACTGTAATATTACCTACAATTTGATAGTAATGTTACTGAAATATTATCTGCAATGTAACAGTAATGTTACTGTAATATTATCTACAATGTTACAGTAATGTTATACTGTAATATTACACTACAATATTACCTGTAATATTACTGTTATATTACCTTCAATTTAATAGTAATATTGCTGTAATATTACCAAAAATGTAACAGAAATATAGCTGTAATATTACCTATAATGTAACAGTAATGTTACTGTAATATTATCTACAATGTAACAGTAATGTTATACTGTAATATTACACTACAATATTACCTGTAATATTACTGTTATATTACCTTCAATTTAATAGTAATGTTGCTGTAATATTACCTATAATTTGATAGTAATGTTGCTGTAATATTACCAAAAATGTGACAGTAATATAACTGTAATATTACTTATAATGTGGCAGTAATGTTACTGTAATATTACCTACAATTTGATAGTAATGTTGCTGTAATATTACCAAAAATGTGACCGTAATATAACTGTATCATTACTTATAATGTGACAGTAATGTTACTGTAATGTTACCTATAATGTGACAGTAATGTTACTGAAATATTACCTATAATTTGATAGTAATGTTGCTGGAATATTACCAAAAATGTAACAGTAATATAGCTGTTATATTACCTATAATGTGACAGTAATGTTACTGTAATATTACCAAAAATGTAACAGAAATATAGCTGTAATATTACCTATAATGTAACAGTAATGTTACTGTAATATTATCTACAATGTAACAGTAATGTTATACTGTAATATTACACTACAATATTACCTGCAATATTACCTGTAATATTACTGTAATATTACCAACAATTTAATAGTAATGTTGCTGTAATATTATCTGTAATTTTACCTATAATTTGACAGTAATGTTACTGTAATATAACCTGTAATATGACAGTAATATTACAGTAACATTATTGAGGTAATAATAATACTAATAATAGTAAGGTAATATTACAGTAATGTTATAGTAACATTGTTGGGTAATATCACTGTAATACTAAGTTAGTTTCAAATACACTGGAACTCGTGTTATGTAACTGTTATTAGACCGCATCTCTGTCTCAATAAACTAGAGTTTCACTGTATTTGGAAAATGATATCATGAATCATATGAATTTAATACAAAACTTTAATTCTAATTAACTGCAAAGATTAGTGAATAATAATCCAATTAAAGTGATTATAAATTTTTTGAAATACACTACAACCTCCGTTACTGAGACGCTCAAGTGTCTCAATAATTATAATTTCAAGAAAAATTGAAAAGAATCGTATTAATTTACCTAAATATTAATAATATATTTATAATATATAATATATTTATTACAAGAGATTACAAAGTTTTTGAAATACACTAGGACTCTTGTTACTGAGACGCTACGATGTCTGAATAATTAAAAGTACAGACAATTTTAGACACACTGAAATTCTTATCGTGGATTTTTTTTTTGTTAAAAAAGTTCCGTTGTCTCAGTAACAAGAGTGTGTGTGTGTATGAAATTACAAAAGTTTTTTAAATACCTTAGAGCTCGTGTTACTGAGACATACAAGTGTCTCATTAATATAGAAGGTCAAGTGTATTTTTCAAGAACTTTGTAAACACTTTACCCGAATTTTTTTTCCTTTGGAAAATTTTTATTTTTTACATTTCGAGCAAAATAATATTATTTTTATATGTTATTGTTTATTATTATATCTACTGACTGCACTCTTGTATTTTTTAATTTTAACTTGTTTATGTAAACTATATGATTATTATATAATAAATTTATAAAAGACAGTTATTACATTTCTATGCACTTTGTCTAATGCCTCTATTCTATAATCTCGCGCTACTATTTTCAGTAGTATAAACTTTGATCTGGCAGCCATTACGTCTGACTATACTGCACTGTTTCTACTGTGTAGAAATGATAATTTAACTCTCCGAATTCAAACACAATATTCTTTCACTGAAACTTTATAAAAACATTGATGTTAAATAAATAGTAATAATAACAATAATAATAAATAATAATTCCTTTTTTTAAATTTATTCATTGTTAAATTTTATTTTAAACACTACAAATTCTATACTAAAATACTACCCACACTGAGAAAAAAGGTTTGAGCTGACAACCAAATATTTCATTCAATATATGTGCAACTAAAATTTTTTGGTTGACACAACTAAACTTTAGTTGACAACAACCAAAGTTTGTTTAAGACGACTAAATAAGAAAATGAAAAAGAATTTGGTAGTCTCAACCAAACTTTGGTTGATGTCAACTAAAATTTAGTTGTGTCAATCAAAAAATTTTAGTTGCACATATATTAAATGAAATATTTGGTTGTCAGCTCAAACCTTTTTTCTCAGTGCAAAATATGACTTTTTCTTAGTTTCAAAAAAGGAAATTATCGAAAGAAATCTCACCTTTAAACTTGAAATAGGGGGCCATCCATAAATAACGTTTCGCTTGAAGGGGAGGGGAGGGGGTCAAGAATTTGCAACATTCAATAGAAAAAATGGCGCTAATGTATGCAAAATGTGCAACATGGGGGAGGGGGGGAGTCGAAAATGGTGAAAAATAGTGCAACGTTATTTATGGATGGCCCCATATAACTTTGTTTTAATTATACACAGAAAATTAAAAGGTATTAAAATAAGCTGCAACGCTTCTTATTTTAATCCATTTTTACTTATTTTAATACCAAAATGGATTAAAATAAGAAAAATTTGATTAAAATAAGAAGCGTTGCAGCTTATTTTAATACCTTTTAGTTTTCTGTGTAACTATACAGCTCTCAAAATAGTATATCAGAGAGATCTCAACGAATATATAATGAAAAACGTTTTCTCACATTTATGTATATACGTATACACTTTAACCGTTTGTGACTATTAAATCACCCAGACGCAACGGTGGTGGAGGGGGGTTGTAGAGACTATAACGACGCTACAATAAAAAATTTAATCAAAATGCCCTCTTGGTAATTTACAACTTGAGCTCTCAACCCTTTTTTTCCCTTTAACCGTGAAAGCAAGGGTGGAAAGGCGATTCTCGCTTTTCTTAAATATATACGAGAAAAAGTGAAAGAGAGAGAGAGAGAGAGAGAGATATTTTAGCGGAAGAGATGGAGGACAATGGGGAGAAATTCAAGATTCTCCCCTCCCCCACCTATTTCCTCCGATGAGTCGTAAGAGAGACCCATTTACTCGCCGAGGGACTTCTTCCATAAAAATAATACCTCTTGTCCTCACTCATTTGCCACCTTTAAACCTTTCCATTTTAAGTTTTCACCCTCCCCTCCCCTCCCTCCTACCTCATTTTTCTTTTAAGTGACTTTTCGCTGGACAAGTTTTTTCCAACCGATAGCTCTCTTTCTCTCTCTCTCTTTTCTCCCACCCATTTTATAAGTCGTAAATTACAAATTAGAACATGAAAGTTTCCCCATTAAGTGCGAGCAACAAAAGCCCCGCTAGGTATAACAAAGTTATAATGACAACGATAGATTTAATCGGTATGGTAGTCTATGAAATTGTCTCTTTAACGTCGTTAATTGACCTCAAATTTTTATCTGTGGAAACATTTTTTTAATAATAAATTTATTATATACACCGAGAGAAAAGATTTCTTTGATTTAAAGAAACCAATTTCTTTGATTTGTTTTCTTTCATTCAAAATAAAATTTTCTTTGAAACAAAAAAAAACCTTCTTAGTTACAATTAAAATTTTTTTGATTCAAAGAAATTATCTTTAAATGACA